TAAAAAGGTTGAGAAGCTTCTGGAGCAGGCAGAAGGAGAGGTACTTCGGCAACAGAGAGACCTTGAGCAACATGAGGATCAGGGGCATGGTCCGGCGGGGCCTCTTCGGACAAGTCCACTATAACTGCCTCGGGCAGATCCGCCGAGACTTGCACCGGCGTTGGGATCTCATCCTCGGCAACAATCTCTGCTTCGACCCGTTCCATCTCTGCCGAGGGCACGTACTTATGCATCTGGAAGAGCGGGGAGTCTGACGGGATTCCAGCAGACTGGAGCGCCTCGTCCCACCCTTTCTTGAAGAACTCCTTGCTGTTTTCCTCAAGAGCAGGGAGCACGTCATCGGCGAACTCTTCCCGGAGTTGCTCCTCCGACTTTCTGTTCAGTGCCTCGGCTCTGATCCTGTCCAGCTCCTGGGTGAGAGCCAAACAGCTTTCCTCTGAGCCAACCGCCCTCTCCTCCGCGGCAGAAAGCCGCCGCGTCTGCTCGGTGATCCTCCCCTCAGCATCGGCAAGGGCAGCACTTAGCTTTTCAGCGCCAACCTTAGCCAACTCGGCATCCTTGAGGAGTTGTTCGATTTGAGCAGCCTGCCCCGCCAGGGTAGAATCCCTGGCAGCTACGTCCTCCATTGCTCGGGCGAGGGCCCCCTCCGCCTCTTCCTTCTGCTCTCGGGCCCGCTGGAGGTCCATCCTAGACCCATGGTATCGCGCAGCTATTATGGAGATCTGTTGGGTAGCCTGCAAAGGAGGGAAAAAGACGTATCACAAAAATGGAAAGCGAGAGAGAAGAAACCAAAGCAAAAATGAACTTACCACCAGGGAATTCTGGATGATAGAGCGGAACAACACGTTCGTTGATCGCCCCCTGTGAGCCGCCATGTCAGCCTCGAAATGCAGTGTCTCACTCACTGCATTGGCGACATGAGGATCCAGCAAAATGGAATCATCGACCCTGATCACTCGGTTCATGTGATCGGTCGCTCGGGGATTCCACTCCGCGGCTTCCACTGTCGGCGGAAGGGAAGGGGGAGTCTGCTGCTGCTGTTGTTGTTGTTGTCGTTGCTGTTGCTGTTGCTGCTGTTGCGGAGGAGCAGGGGGTAACCCACGGCCTCTCCCGCTTTGCTGCTGAGCGGAAGATGCCCTGGATCCTCTGCCGAGGCCATCGTGCCTATGTTTGACCCTTCTCTCCTCCTCTACCTGAGGATCCCGGTCACGCACTTGACCCCGACTGAGAACTCTTGAGGATGGGGTGGAACTGGTCCCTGCAGAGGGGGCGCCGCCGGTCGATCCTCGACCCCTCCCGGCTGCGAGGGCTTGCCTCTGCCTCAGGAACCCCAAATCAATGCGAGGGGTGCTGGACATCGCTACCTCGAGGGCGTCCTCGGCGTCTAAGGATTGAAGAACTTGGAAGTCTGGCCACAAGTCTCCTCCCGAAGTCCCCACCTCGGCGTCCGAAGGAACAACGTCCTCTCTGACCCCGAGCTCTTCAGCAACTCCCTCTACCTCTGCCTCCGAAGCCCGATCCGGGTCTTCCTCCAAGTTTTCCTCAACCTCTAGCCTCGCCGCCTGATCGAAGAGTTCAGACCACCGCGAAGGATCAAAAGGCTGAGGAAGCTGTGAAAATTTCTTATACCCGGGGGTATAATTCAGCAGGATGTGAGCAGCACGGCCAAACCCGTTGTCACCCGTGAATCTCCAAACCGTGATTAGGTCGGCAAAGTTCACCAGCAACCGAGGGGGAGGAGCTGTTTCCCGAGCAGGGATATCTGCACAAACAAAAAAGTAGTCATGAGCATCGGAAGTCTGGAGAACAAAATAATAAACCCGAAGGAACCGACGTACTTGTCGTTCTCCATTCCAGAGGGCATAACAAGTCATTATACTCGGGACCAACACCTCTCTGCCAAGATCCCTTGAAAATAAGAATATCGTCCTTGTACCCCTTGTCCGAGTCGGGAAGATGAGTTACAAGGTACATGGAGGGGTCCCTGGCTTTGAGGTAGAAGTGTTGTTGAGGCATGACTCTCAAGAGGGAATAACAAAAAAGGAGATCGTTCAGCCCAATATTTACCCCGAGACGCCTATTGAGCTCTAAGACCCCCATAATTATTCTGAAGACATTAAGGCAACACTGCCCGGGGAAGAGGCGGAAGTGAGAGAGGAACTGGAGAAGTAAAGGGGGTAAAGGAAACCTAATTCCGCCCTCTATTATGGCCTTGGTATAAAAGGGCATAGCATCCTCGGCCCCGAGGGTAGGAATGTGCACCACCGAGTCATAATCCTCTATGTTTACGCACGGGGGAATGCCGTACTTGACCTTAAACCTATTAATCTGCTCACCACCCTTTACTTTATACTTCCCCGACCCCGAAGAACCAGCCTGAGGATTCTCGGGAGCAGGGCGAAGACGAGGCATCTCTAAGAAAGTGAGAAAGTGGAGGGTGTTTTTTCTTAAAAATCCCTGAGGAAGCTTCCCGAGGATTAGTCGCTAAGTATCAACCGGAGACACCTCCAGTCATCGGAAAACAAAAAGGGATAGGAGGAAGAAAAGAAGAAAGAAACTAGTACTCACCCGAATGCCAAACGGAGTTTTTTTTGGAAAACTTTAGGCGACTCCTTCCAGAAAGTTCAGAAGCAACGATGGGTCTGCTGGCCTTAGGACTTTAAGGAAGAATGAGCAGTTGACGATGGAAGAGAAAAGAGATCTCCGGCGAAGATTCAGGAAAAGACTCTCTTGAGGAAGTTCGGAATGGCGAAACAAGAAAATGCAAGAGGAACCCCATTTATATAGTGGCTGTTTCATCATTGGGCGCGAAAAACGAAATGGCTCATTTAATGCACACGACATCCCAAGCCGGGGAAAGCGGCTCGGGGCAATGATGAAGCATTTGTGGTTGTTGGAAAACCCTTCGTCTCCTTACGACGCGTGCCCTCGGTGTCAGAAGATCGAAGGCTGGGG